AAAAGTGGCATTCTCGGCTCCAGCAGACGCACAAGTGTCATCCAGTTTGTACTGATCTGTTGAACAGCAGACGTGTAATGTAAGGGACAGTCAGAATATTACGAGACAGGCTTTTAACACTGCAGAAGCTATTTAACATGCTGAGAAGACAAGCTAATCACGAAAGACTTGTCTAGATGTCTATGTTCCTTTGACTCCTTAGGGATTTTGTAGATGCTGACGGCCAGTGTGAACTTTATATCAATTTATTGTGTATGTTTACATAAGCAATAAAACCATTTGCCATATCATTTAACAACACACAGAGTGAGTTGTTGACCATGAGCTGATCTGACCTTTTCAGGTCTAATCAAGAAATGTGAAATCTTATTTCAGCCTGTCAGCTCCAGTAATATGCAGTAAGAGTATCTGTATCTAACTGAAAATGTCAGATGCACTCTAATGTGCAACCCATCAAAGTTACGATGCATATGAACCAAGAACTGGTTAAGAATATAAATCTGTAACATCCATGGTGCATCTCAAATGCTTAGATAAATTTTTCTGCCATTGATATGGACTAGCTAAAAACATGCATTAAAAGCGATTCTTTGGGAATATATGTGAGATGTACAGCCGCTTAAATATTAAAATGATCTTGAAAGAGAGGAGATAATACCAGGTTAGAATATTCCTGAAGAACTAGTGAGTAGTGAGAATATCAGTGCTCTTGTTAATGTCTTGCTAGCTTTGCTATGTCATAATGTAAGATTAGTGGTCTCGTGGAACGTCCAGATTTTCCTTTTTAATTTTAATAATTTGCTGCTTGTGAAGTTTTTATTCTTTCCAGGAATAATCCATTATATAAGCCTAGATGTCCTTATCAGTCTTATTTGTGTTGAATTTAGTGTTAAGCATTTTTTACATTCTTGTGCTTTTTATGAAAAAGTCTACTTCTATGTTTAGAAGCTTTCTAGAAACCAACATTGTGCTCAGTAGGTTATGGTCTTTAATGATGTTTAATTTCTTTGTTTTCTTTGTCTCATCTTGGAAGTTTCTGTTCTTGGTATTTTGCTAGATATTCAGATTTAAGATAAATCTGTCTTTAATAATTATTTATCAAAGGTGAGACCAATTATTCATTGGTATAATTTCTGGATGATTAATTTGAATTTGGATTAAAGTGGATGGGCACAATGAAAAGCAACTTTGTATCCTAAGAAAATGATATTTCGTTAGTTAAACAGTCTATCGAGATTGCTTAATCTTAATGCAGTTTCCACTAAAACTGAGTTGGTTTTTAGTCTAATTGTGGGTAGTTTGTGCAATTTGAGGCATTATTAACTGAATTGCTACTATTAGTAAGATGTTGTTGGAACCAGAATTAAAATGAACTGTGGGAAGCATTGCTGAACGGATAACTTTGCATTAAAGAATAGTGTGCATTTAAAACCACTCGGTTAATGCTATTGGAACTGTTCTTGTGAGACAATACTGCCCTCCCCTGGTATGCTGAGGAAAGTAGGAATTTTTATCCCAGTCCGAGCAAGTTCTAGGGCTTCCTATTAAAGAGAAATTGCTGAATTGGTGAAAACGGTGGCGAAAATGCTCTTAAAAAGACCATTATGTGCCGTCTCTATTACAAGAGCAAAAAAAAAAAAAAGTGGAACAGACATTTGTGTGATGCTTTTATGTATGCATGGTGCAGATGTGGATGAATGTACAAATAATATACAGGAATATACTATGAACACACAAGACAACAAATTGAGGGCTGATTTAAGTTTGGGTGGCAATTTGGAGGTTGAATTGAGGACAAAATAAACAGATACCAGGTAGCCACTGAAAGTTAGCGGGACCAGTTACAATAATTTTTTGTTTAACAGTATAGTTTTGTCTTTGTATATAATGTTTAGAGATTTACCATTAATGTTTCATGTTAAAACTCTGCAATAGAAAAATAAATGGGACCACGGCCAACAACTTGCGTAGGAAGAGGATTAGGTCTTGTGCAAATAAAGCTGTAGCAAAACTGTCATCTTCTGTCACGGGCTGTTGGTTACAAAGACACCACCATAGGCTCATTTGCACATCCCTCCACTGCACATTCCTGAGAGCTGAGGAAGGTAGGCCAAGGAAATACTACTATTGCATGGTCTATTCTGAATGCATTTCTTCAGACATCTGTTATTAACCACTGCTGGAGACAGAATAGTAGGGTAGAAGGTTCTTCAGGTTGTCTGGCTATGCCTGAGTCTGTTACAGGAAATAGCAACATATTTATTTAATTTTTTCTTCCATTTCTCACTGCTAGGCAGTTTCACTATAGTCCAGATAGCAGAAAGAGATGAGCCTTGTTTGAAATACAAGAATTTTAGTTCCCACATCTGACTCCAGTAAAGTGTCTGTGGTGGGGTTTGGTTTTTTGTTTGTTTTTAATAGAATCATAGAAAGGTTTGGGTTGGAAGGGACCTTAAAATCACTGAGTTCCAACCCCCTGACATGGACAGGGACACCTCCCACTAGACCAGGTTGCTCAAAGCCCCATCCAGCCTGGCCTTGAACACTGCCAGGGAGGGGCCAGCCACAGCTTCTCTGGGCAAGCTGTGCCAGTGTCTCACCACCCTCACAGTGAAGAATTTCTCCTTTATATCTAATGTAAATCTCCCCTCTTTCAGTTTGAAACCATTACCCCTCTCCCTCTCATTACCCTCCCTGACCAAGAGTCCCTCCCTACCTTTCCTGCAGCCCCCCTTTAAGCACTGCAAGGCCGCTATAAGGTCTCCTGGAGCCTTCTCTTCTCCAGGCTGAACAACCCCATAACAGTCTGTCCTTACAGGGGAGGTGCTCCAGCCCCCTGATCATGTTCATGGCCTTCCTCTGGACCTGCTTGAGCAGGTCAATGTCCATCTTATACTGAGGGCCCCCAGAGATGGAGCAGAGTAGTGGGTTTTTAAGGTATAAAAATATCCCCTTTTTTCTATAATTAAGAATTTTCTAATTGCTGGACAACTTTCAAAACACAACTTTTTTTCCCGTGGCACATGACTTGACTTCTGTTTTGTTTGCTCCTCATGCCTCTTAATGCATTGGAAATCACCTAACACTAGAGAAGACTGGAGAGAGCACATTAAAATCTCTGGTTCACGTATTTCTTCTTGTCTTATATGTGAATAGATTGCTAGATTCAGGACCAGGAGGGAGGTTTTTTTTCCCCAGACTGGTTTGCTTGAGGACTTCGCTTGAGTGTGAATTCTTGTCTAGTACTTAGGGTCAGGTCAGTTGGGAGATGTTTTAAGAACTGTGGAATATAACGATGTTCCCAGCCTGACCCGCTCTGGTCCAGTGGCACGTTACAGCAGTGGTGGTTGTTGATACTTTACTACTGCCTTTTATAATAAGGTCCTAGGAGTTGTTTTGCATCTATAGTGCCTGCCAGTCCACAGAGCAAGTGTGGACCATTTTGAACTAGACCCCAACCACTCAGTTACCTGTGACTGTGTCAGATGAGACCTGAAGATCCCAGTGGTTCTTCACAGGCTTCTGCTTCTAAAGTGACTTCACTGGCTGCAAAATAGAAGTATTTACCTTCATGCACATAAGCTAGTAGGCTACACTAAGCAGTCCTTTTGAGAGCTAGCTGTAAAACCACTGCAGGTATGGCTCCATAATAGTTAAAAGCTAAGTCAACACTGAGATGCCTTGTTCTGCTTTTCATTTTGTGACACCAGTTTTATGTTTTTCTGTTTCGTTAGATTAGTGTTTTGTCAGTGTAGCAACTCAGCTCATCAAATGGTTATGTGAATGGCAGTGGTGTCATTCCTTGTCCTAAACAAATGTGTGAGGTCTAAGACTGTAACAGTTTGCTTTCTTCTCCATAACTTTTGCAGGTATTGGGGCTGCTGGTGTGGACCCTGGTTGCTGGAACAGAATACTTTCTATATCCTGCCTTCGGCTGGGTGATGTTTGTAGCTGTGTTTTACTGGGTTCTCACTGTCTTCTTTCTGATCATCTACATGACAATGACCTACACCAGGATTCCCCAGGTGCCATGGACCACAGTGGTAAATACACCCATTCTTTGTTGTTTCAGGTTTGCTGGATTGTAAAGAGAATAAAATATTGATGCATTTGACGTGCGGGAAAAAAAACTTTACAACCTGAAAGGTTACAAAGTAGGTATGTTTATTGCGCACAGATGCACGGGGGATCGCTCCACCACAAACGTGCATGCCCATCGTGGCCGCTTGTCCAGTATTTATACAATTAAAACACTACATCTTCCAGAGACATCTATACATATTCATGATCTATCCCCGAAAAGGCAGTTCCTTCCGGTCACTCCATTTCCATAATCTCCACCTTGGGCCCCTCCTTGGTGCGCTTGCACAGTCCCTCGAGGTGGTCGTGAACAGGGGTCTTCAGGGATGAAGGCCATAGGTCTTCCTCGCTGTCTACTTTTCACCTCTCCCCTGAAATCTCTAATTTGGCTGAGCTTGCAGTCCCAGACCGGTTTCGGCCTGGTCTGTCCTTGAGTGCACATCTGGTTACCTCCCTTTTGTTATTGTTTGAAGATGGATGTTAGCTAGCCCTCCTTAGCCCTTTTCTCCTCCCGCCTTTGACACCTTTGAACCATGAATTACATCCTTGGTTTGTCTTTTCTGTTTCCACTTATCAGCTTCTTTCTCCAGCATTCCGGGCCTCCTTCTCAGGCCGTTTGCAGGGGTTAGCAATTAATTGCCTACTTGCATGCATGTTAGTTCTGGGAAAGCAGGTTTTAATAGTTTTAGCGTTTTCTATGTAGCTCTCTATTAATATTTTCAATATATCTTCATTTAGAAAGTATATTTTCTGTATGGCCTCCTATCACATTCTATCAGTGTAGTTAACCAACTGTATTTGTGCTTTTTGCAGATTTTTCCTGAATTATTTTGTGGCTGCGTACCTGCAGTGTTTGACCTTCATACTACCCAGACAATTTTAAAACACTTTTCCTATGATGTTTCACGATTTTGCTCAGCAGCTGATGTAGTGACTTGATTTTTTAATAATGTGCATGTGACTGATACTTAGGCACAGTGGCCTCTTTTTCTCCCTGTAGTGGTTACATCCCTTGAAGAACGAGTCTGTTGCTGCCTCTGGGCTAACAGACCTGGCCATATGGCTTAAACAGCAGAAATCCCTACTTGAATCAACAACATGAACTTGGAGTGGGACCCTGGCTCTTAAAACATGAGTCTTCCTCTGCTAAAGTAAAAGCAAAGGTAGTTCAGAGGTAGCAACAGTCTGACAATGCATATATGGCCTACTGTGAAAATGGTGCTGAAAATTAGTGTGTTATATATGTAAAATACATGCCATGTAATCCTTTGCTTTTAGCTCAAGACTTAATGCAAATCAGATAAACAGCTTATGTAATTACAGAAAAATTTCACAGGCACTTAAAATTCAGATCCAGTTTTTGTGGTTTGAACAAACCTGGCTAGCTGTACCTCTCAACAATGTATTTTTACATTATTTTCGTAACAGGCTGCTGTTCAGGGTAATAGATCCTAAAAGTCATTGTCATCTCAGCCAGCTGGCTACTTGTGACCCATCCAAGAATTATTATAAATTTTAGCTTTGCATTTGTCTGATACAGTGAGATACTGTTCTGTTGTGGTGGTTTTTTTTTTACTAGCTAAAGATTATTGACTGGATTCTGGGTTTTTTTATGATAAAATATATTTGACTTCTTGCAGACAGCTTGTTATCAGCTATATTGTGTATGTGGCTAAAATGGAATCATTTTTTCATCTTCCCATTTGCTGCTGTAATAAATAGCCAGCTATAGCAATTACTAATAAGAACAAGGATTATGTTCAGATAGCTTCTCTATTTTTTGAGTTTTATGACCAGCAATTACCATTAAGGCTATAACACTGCTATAGAAACATTGAATTATTTCAATTACAGCAGTAATGTGTCTGGATACATTTAAAGGTGGTGGTGGTGGGGTGTTTGCCATTGCATTAGATGTAAGTAAAGTACATTCAAAGGGAAAGCATTTTTGTATCTATTTGGTACAGCTTTAGTCATTATCCCTCTTTCATCAGTTTAACACTATTATCAGACAACAGCTGCACATAAAAGATTTGTCCTTGATCTATGTGGTAGACAAGCTGGAGTATTTGATTTGTTTCTACTTCTTCATATTGAGGGTATTTCTTGCTCTGAGTTCCAAACATATTATAGATAAGATCACATAAATGTAGGTCCGAAAGGTAGTCTCCTTTTACAGTAAAGGGTAATATGAAGAGCAAATAAATGCAAAATAAGTAAAAGATGCTTGCATTTCAGCTTGTTTTGCCCTACGGTATTAAAAGAGCTGTTGGAAACAGCCTTTGAATTGGACCTCTGCCACTACTGGCTGGCCAAGAGGAATGTTTGGTCTCTTTTCAGAGAGATGTTTTTCATGTCTTCATTCAAGAGATCCTGACACACACCTTTTTGAGTGACACGCACCTTTTTGCATGAGTGAGTTTACACCCACCTTCCCCTATTCTCTGAAGTATCCTGAATTTCAGTCTCTGCTAGTTATTGCTCTGCCTCCTTAGGCGACAGTTAGCTCAATTGTATTGTATGCTCTATTCAAAATTACATCTGGACTTCTCTATCATAAATTCAGGTTTTGCAGGTTAAGCACATTATCAGATTGCTTAAGATGCGGTTACTTTTACTGCAAATTAACCCAAAGGATGTGCTTCAAAACCAACTCTACTTAGTAGTGCAAGTTCTCTGCTAAAACAATCAGTGGAAGCTTTTAAAATCTGGTAAATTTGAGTTTGAGAAGCAGATGGTAATTTAGCATAAACCATTTGGTTCGAGTAATATATTGGCAGTGAAGGCCCAATCAGCTTGCATTGCATTCCATCTTCCCCAACAGTGTTATTTCCCAGAGCAGCAATTCTCAAAAATTATGTGCTTTTTTCTTTTCTACATGACAAGATATTGCAGGGATTTGTAGCTTTCCAGGGTAATTGAGCCTTTCTGGAAGGGGAAATCTAAAAATAACAACAACAAATAGTCTAGGCAATCAAATTAGGAGTCTGAAAATCAGTGCTTTACAGAAGTTCACCTGAACCTGCCAATCGTTGGCATCTTACCCTAAAATTGTCAGTTTGGTATTTTATTACTGTAATGCCCATATAAAACGAGAGGTGAGATCTGTGGAAGAGATAATACCTTTTATTAGATCAACTGATACAGGTGAGATAAACCCCGTTCATTTATAAGTGTATGAATCAAACCTCAAGTGCCAGGTCTCGGACTCCATCTGAGCGCTGAGGCACTGCCCACAGGTCCCTGTGGAAAGGTGGGTAAATGGCTCTTTTCCAAATGCCCTGAAGTTGCAAGGACTTAGGAACCACAGGAGGACATGCATGTCCTTCAGCCTGCTCTGAAAACTGTAAGAAGGCTTTTTGCATGGGAAGTCTCGTATAGGCAGTGATGACCTGAAGATGACAGCACAGCATGTTGCTCTCTGGAAGGGCCTGCAGTTGATAGAGCACATATTTGGGAAATGGCTTCCCTTCAGAATGTTTTGAACCCTGTGTGTCACAGGAGCGTGCAGCAGTGGGCCAGACTACACCGAGTCTGAAGTAAACTGTGCCAGAACCGAACGTCCTGGAGATGGATGTGAGGAGCTTCCATACCAACCACTACAACCTGTTGATCCACGCTTTGGTGCACTGAGGGAATTGCTCATGTGGGTGCAGCTGTTGTTGCTGCCTTCTGAACTTCTCTTTGTGGGCTGCAGCTTTGTTTTTAGATGCTGCTGGAGTTTGTGACTACTGAATTGAATAGTGAATAATTGGCATATATTCCTAGCATCCACTTGTCACACCATGGAAATTAGTAAGTTGGAGCTGCACCAGTATAGCAACATTTAGAGACAACTGGGGCAACAGAGTTAAGGGTTATGATATTTGTGTGACACTCTGGAGTGCAAACGTGGGGCCAGAAGCTGAAGGGAGCAATCATGTACGACATTAGGACCTGGTCTAAATTGAGTTTCCAGTTCCTGCAGTAGTAACTAGCTGCAAAGCATGGTACAGGTATTCCACTTGAACATGGCACCAATGGACTAGAAGTGTATTTTGTGGCCAAACTCATGTGCCTTGGACAAGTAGCAGGGTGGAGTTTTGGGGGATTTTTTTTTTTTTAAATAAGAATGAACTTCCCATAGCCATAACCAAGTAGTGAGTAAGTAAAGGACAAAGTGTTAAAATTAAGTACTTTAAAAAAAAAAAAAAAAAAAAAACAACCCTCAGACCTTTTTATCTTTCATCTTAGTCTTCGTTCTCCCTTCCTTTCCGGTTCTCTCTCACATGCAGACTGTTCTTGTTTGTTCTCTATAGTGGTACGTGAGATCAATGTTATCTGCTTTGCTTCTTTCTTAGTGATGAGCATAGGTACCCCAAGACATTAACTCTGCTCCTTGGAAGAGAAAATGCAGCGTCTGCCATGGACGGGTCTTGATGACCTATGTAGTCCATTCAGATTCTTTTCCTTGGTTTTATCTGTTTCTTTCACCTCTCAAAAACTGGCAAAAGGGAAAGGTACTGAAAGGTGGAAGAATGCAACTGAAAAAATTTACACCCTCTTTGTCTCCTTCAGAATTAGAGAAAACACAGTTTTGGAAGCTTTATAAATATTCTTCACATGCAATGAGCTACTGATTCCTACAGTATATCTTTGTTTAGATTAGAAATGTAATCAAATGGCAGTTTCCTTTTTTTTTTTTTTTAACATAGCGTCATATTCTTACTGCCTAACACTTAGATTATGATAACCAAATGGGGTCCTTGTTTTCACTTTTGGAAAATCACAGCACACACCAGCTTTAAGACTTCTCTGGATTTAGTGTGATGAAGAGAACAGTTTGTCTAAAATGTGCTTTAAAGTTTATGGATCTTCAAAATCAGCAGTTAAATTTTAATCTTACAGATAGAAACTTGGAAGAAGGTAAAGATAGTTGAGTCACATTTCTTGTGTACATTATATTTCAGAGGAGAGTTTTGTATTTTTGGAGTAGCAAATGGTAACAAATGCATGTGCATATTAATTACTTATGTTATTTGCTTTCTCAACAGGGTCTGTGTTTTAATGGCAGTGCCTTCATTTTGTACCTCATTGCTGCCATTGTAGATGCATCTTCAGTTACCAAAGAACTGGACAGTCACAATTACAACAGCTGGGCAGCTTCTTCAGTGAGTTCAGTTTTTGTTTGAATCTGCTCTGTATCTAAAAAACGTTCTATGAAAAGAAGGCTTGCTGGACATGCGGGTTGAAATGCATGCATTCTGGATTCTGACAAGCTGCAGACTGATGTAGAAGCTCACACACAAAACGTATAGGTAGCTGTAATTTAGTTCATAGTTTTTGAAGGTGACTAGAAATTCCACCAGGAGATGATAGTGACATCAGAAGAGGCTGTAATGTGTTTTTAAGATCATACTGCTTTTCCCCTCCCTTGCCCCCATTTATTACTAGCTCTCTGGCAGAGGTTATAGGCTGCACATCAGAGTAGACAAAACAGATTGTGTGAGCACTGAGTCACCTTGGTGCACTTGGACAACTTCAAAAGCAGTTTAAACTAATGCAGCCAACTTTGCACACATGTGGATAAGATGCATTCAGCTTTTTGTGGGCTGAGCCATACACACAGCACCTTTGGGAAAGTCCTGAAGTGGTATTGCTGTTTCTACAGTGATCTTCCTGTTACAGCCTCAGCAATTTCTTCTGAGTTGGGTGAGCAATGCCTGAAAAATCATGTGACTTCCCAGTGTTTTAAAGTGGATGCAAATCATTAATTAGTCTGACATGACTGTCTTACTACTTAGATTTGGAAATCCAAAGCAGTCAAAGTGGGTGAAAAGCAACTTTTTTTTTTTCCAAGAGCCTTGTCACTTTCTGAGTAAGTGAACACTTCCTCTAGCTAAGTTAAGGGAGTTGTAAAAGAACCTTTTGCATGTTGTGGCAACAGCAGTAAAATTCAGTTATACCCAGTAATTCCAAATTACAACTATTTTGCTGACTTTTCATGCTTCTGAAATTGCCCTCTCTGGACTATTCACAAATCCTGTCTTCTGTCTGAAGCTTATTGTATATGGCCTGAACACAGACACTTGAACACCTGCACTGTTTTTGTCTTGGGAATTGGTCAGCTACATCCCTGTCCTTTCAGTGGTATTCAGGGTCTTCTCCCCTTGGCAGTTTGTAACTATTGTTCTGGTACTCAGCCTCTGCTGTTGACAGGAGCTCGCTTGCTACTAGATAAGCTTCCATGCTGATTCAGGTTTTATGCAAAATGCATGAATGCTCAGTGTCTCATGGGATGTTTGGAATCTCTTCTAATACCTCCTAATAGTGTTTATCTAATGCACTGTCTAAATAAACTATTAAAAGTAGATTTTTGCTTTCTGAACCCATTAAGGGTTTCATGGGTACATGTTTGTGAGAGTTTAGCAAACCATCTATCCCCAACAGTTGTTCTGTTAGAAAGGCTCTGCTAGAGCCTTTATTGCATAAGAAATAAAATTATTGGAAAAGAAGAATGCTACAATTTCCTATTGTGACATGTTACATCATCAGCTACAGTTTTTGGTGCCGCAGATTAAATTTACATTAGACAAGACTCACAAAGAGCCCTCTGTTGGGAGGACTTAGGCTCACTGCCTGTATGCATGCTTGGTAGTGCCCTGCTCTCAGAGCCAAAGTGTCTACCGAGGCAAATGATGGTATATAAGCAAGAAACATTGGTAGAATCATAAAACACTTTGAGGCTGGAAGGGACCTCTGGAGGTCATCTGGTCCAACTCTCTCCCCCTCTTAAAGCCAAGCTAACTCATACCAGGCTACCAGGGCCTTGTCCACTCGAGCTTTGAGTCTTTCCAACGATGGCTCTTCCACAACACCTCTGGGCCTCTGTTGTTTGATTACTCTCACCGTGATTTCCTCACCCCCCCCCCCCCCCCCCAAATACCTAATTGAAATTTCCCTTCCTGTAATTTGGGTTTGTTCCCTCTTGTCATATCATTGCTCACCTCTAAGAAAAGTAGTGTTAATCCTATTTGCAGTGTCAGCTTTATTTGGTTCACTTACCAGCACAAAACATTCTGGTCTTATCATAGGACCACTTTGAACATTGTCTATTTTGAATAACATCCAGTGATTAACAGGAACGTAACCACTGGCACTGAATTGGACTTTTATCAGTACAACTGAAATAGTTCACAGCTGTTCTTTAGTTTCTGTGCGCGTATGCTGCAAGGACTGCAGAATCGCCACCACTGATGCTGTGGTTTTAATATTTAAACATAAATTTAGCCTGCTACAGCAGGCTTATTCTATAATCCATTTCTGACAAAGCAGTAATATCTCAAAGTGGCTGCCTGTCGCTGTTACTTGCACTGTGGAATACCTTTATTCATCAGTAGAGGACCTCTGGAGTTGGTAACCCGATTGGTACTGCTGTTTGAGAACGTGTCTGGGCCTGCGTTTGAATCCAGGTTTTCTCTGTGAACAAACCTGTTTTGATGCCCAGCGTGCCCTGCTGAGGTACAGGTGGGCTGTAGGCAATTCTTGGAACATAGCAGCAGTGCAGGAGTGTTAGCTTGACCTTGCACTGTCCCATGGACTATCCCTCCAGTCTTTACCAGGAATTGATGTTAAAAGCAGCAAGTATAGGCTTGGTGGGAGTCCAGTCTATAAGATCCATACTGAGGCAGTGTAGCGTGGAGACACGAGCTGAAATAAGCCATGTTTTGTCTGCTTCTAGGCCTGTATTTCTACACGTAATATAAGCTTACTTACACAGTGGTGACTGCACTGGCCACACAAGTATGAGGAAGTGAGAGAGTGCCATTTTAGTCAGCCGGCTATTTGTCCTTTTTTCCAAACCCTATAACTGTTTATTTCATAGAAATGACTGTACTCTCAAATACATTTTTTTCCTAATATATTTTTTTTTTCCCCCCTCTCTCTACAGTTCTTTGCCTTCGTGGTTACCTCCTGCTATGCTGGAAATACGTATTTTAGCTTTATATCTTGGCGATCACGAACTTTGCAGTAAATATTTTAATAAAATGAATTCTGTAGTATAAAATATCTTGAGGATTTCAAAGCTTTTGTCAAGAGTATAGAGGGATGAGGTCTTTTTGAACGTTTCTGTTAGAATTGACACAATATATTTTAAACTGAGAGTAAATAATTATAATGCAATACCATCTTTAGAGACATCTACACTGACTTTGTACTGTATAATAAAATTTCATACCGCTTCTTTTAAAAATAACATGGTATTTTTCTAGACATTGTATAGATGTTGTTACTAAACCTTTAATAAATCTTACTCAGACAATGTGCCAGTTTTGTAAATGTAACTTTCTAAATGTTACAGGTATACTTTTGATACTGAATGCTACAAATCAAAACTAAGATTGATATTGTCTTGTTATTATGTACAAAAAGTGACATTGTGCAGAAAAAAAAACCACACAAAACTTTAAAAATAAATAATTGACCCAGCTGTGCATGTTTTGTAAATTGGGAGTAAAGGTTGCTTTTTTAAATCTATTTTTCAGAGTAAAATATATACTACTAAGAATTATGATGATCCTGTCAGTTTGCATATTCTAACAGCCTCTGGCAATCATGAGATTGCTTTTGAAACCTGTTGCTGTAGTTCTGAAGCTTGCTGAGGAATGTTGCACCTGAAACACATTATCTTAACAGGCTTCTCAAATCCAGCAGGCTCCAAGGCGTAAGTCTAGACAACAGTCCCATAGTGCTCAGTGTTTAACCTACCGAGAGAATCACAAAACACCTACTAAAGGTAGTACATTTTGTTTCTCAGAGGATTGTGGGTTTTTTTCTCCTCAGATTAGGCTATAAATCTATACTAATAAAAATATGGTCTTCTAAATCCGATTAAATGATATAAAGATGAAATCCATGGAAGAATTGTCAAGATGCCAGTGCTAGAAACAAAGAATTTCCTCCCTCCTTTCCTGTCTACTGGCATCATCTGTGAGTTGTTAGTTTAACAAATGAAGCTTTTAATTTGGTGCTCATATTTAAATATCTTTGAGTCAAGCAGAAGTACGACAGAAGAGTATGACTTTCAAAACAGATACCTTTGAAAATGTCTTTCAGATACAAATTACCTAAGGAATTTTTTCCAGGAATTACATGGAGACTGTAAGCTTGTGATTATTTTGTGGTATTATTTGAAGTTTCCCTTATTTAAAACTACTGGAAAATCTTTTATTTCTGGATTAAGAAGATTTGGACTCTCTCCCAGTCTTCAAAAACTTAGTTGGACTATTATATATGGTAGTAGAGAAATCTTACTGCTTAAAAATACCTTCTTTATTTCTCCCTGTAACTAAATGTTGTGTGCTTACTTATGTGCGTGCCCTGCAGCAAAGAAGATTTATCAGCAGCCACCTAGTTCTGTTCTCGATCACATTGTTTTGTTCTTAGATTATCTGTCAGAGTCACAGGATTTCAGTGTAAGGGAAGCCAAGATATTATTTAAAAACCTATATTTGTCTGCAGATTGCATCTGGCCTGTACAACAAAGGTCAGGCTCTCTGCTGCTTGCTAAAATTATCCAGTTGTGAGAAGGAAGAAGGGCTACCAACTATGCATTTTATCTACGCAGATAAAATGTGTCAGTAAAATCCCATATGCTTTTTTCAATTGCTGGAAAAAAAATCAAAGGCATAAAAATTATCCAACTGTGAACTGATAAAATGTCACTAGAAGTATAGCCAGAATTTAAACCTTATCAGTAAAAATGCTTCGTAGTAATAAAAATGCTTTTGTACTAATAGAAAATCTTTTAAACTGTTACTTGATGTACCTATCTTAAGTCCAAAGACTGTGATGATGTTTGCACAAATGTTTCATGATTTTGTGGTAACTGCGATGGTCTGGTCTAAAGTCGTAACCCAGACAACATTTGTGGATAGAGGCAGTAAGAGGGAGTAGTGTGTTTCATCCAGTTTACCAAAAACTGCTGTGGAAGCTGCGTGTTCTATGTCAGAATAAACCCATTAATGCAGGACAAAACCACACTGTCACCAGACAAGGAATGGTTCTGGCAAAACATCTACCACCTCTCTGAGTCTTCAGCACTGATCCGCAAGGGAAGATGTGTGGAATGTCTTCCAAAGGGAAATCTGTGAGTTGAATCCATAATTCTGATTTTTAAAAAATACACACTAGGCAGAAATTAGCTTTATGCTTGCCCTTGCCTTTTTTCCCACAAACTGTAACTTATCTGCCTTGCTCTTTCCTTTCAGAAAGATAATTATCTTACTTCCCATGGTCTTTCTCATAAGTCTCATTTCTCAGCTGTTCTCCAGCTACCAACTGTCTGTTTTTCAGGTGTTCTGAGTATCTAGTTAAAACTGGAAGAATCAGTACAAGCTGAAAATTACTTCTGAAGTTTGCTCCTCGTATTTCAGGCCTGAAGAAAGGTATAAGCACTCAAAAGGTTATCTGGTCGTTCTAGTGCATTAGTCTTAAATACTGATTTGCAAACTATGACTGATGCCTTTGTATATTTTAATATTGATAAAGAAGATAAGCTAGCTGTGATTACATAATTGTGTTTAATAGAACAATTAAAACAAGAACGGTGGCTGAAGGCAGTGCTTAGTGTTCCTAAGATTGAAAGAAACCTTATTTAAAAGAACTGGTAAGTGTTGAAATTCTTAATACAGATATAAACAAAATACTAATCAGCCTGCAAAATGAAGGTATTTGACATTATAAATAACTTGTTTCAGACAAACAGTCCCTGAAAAATCTAAGTCACCCACATACATAAGGATACTTGATGTCAACTTACGGTCGTCAAATTTCATTTATTAAGGAGTTGTCACTAACTCTTACTATCATCGTACATGATGCCCTTAACGAGGTGAAGCATGAGAACTGTAATAAAAATTGCAGATTCAGCAGTGTTTTAGACTGACTTTGTGCCACTGGTTTACAGAAGATGCCTGTACTTCTGAGTAGAAAATATGATTGTTATTCTACTTGTATTAATTTAAAGGTATTTCTGTTTTACTGGGCTGAACTTGGATCAGCAGGGCCCCAGTCATATACACACTTTGAAAAGAAGTAAAGAACTAAAAAAGCTGAATCAGCGGGTAAGAAAAATGTGTTTCTTAACAGGAAGTACAGAAGCTACTCCAGCCTTCCTCCGCAGGGCTTGCAGGAAACCTGTAAGTGTGCATGCTTCTGAACGTGAGCTGTAAGAGGGGAAAAATGAAGCAGAAGTTTAAAAAAAACAAACCACGATCTTTTTCTCAGCAACTAGCATTTTACTTTTGGGGAGACTGGTAATGTTGTAGCTTTGATACCTAATGAGATGAGGTAAGATTTGGTGGGACAGGTAATAATAACCTTTATTGCAACTACTAGCCAGCTTAATGGAAGCCCAAAACGATGTACTGGTTAGTCTGTTACAGACCATTGCCCCCACAGGCAAACCCTGTCTTGCAACGTAAAGTACTTAGTCTAGCCCGTTGTTCGTGTTGGAGATCATCAGAACTTGCCCGTCTTCCTAACACAGTTTTAGTTGCTGAAGGAGCTGTTAAATGCCAACTATGAACAGAGCGTGCATCCTAACTGCAGCAGCGCATAGTGCTGCTATGCTAATAAAGCAGCACTTTACCTCACTTGTCAGAAAGCAAAACCAAGTCATTTTTAAACTCGAGGGAACATACAGCTTCCTTTGCCGAGTTTTGTTAGTATCTCTGCATGATTTCATTCAACGGGGCTGATACACTTTGAGAGTCATCACAGTTTTGACTGTCGCTGCCCATTTAAAGCAAATCTTTCCTCTTTTACGAGACCGCCAGTCAGAAGATTTGGGGTTTTTTAGTGAGAATCAACGTTGTGCGGGAAGACGGCCTTGGCGGACGTACCTCCACCACCGCGAAGCACCGGAGCAGTTCCCCTCCGCCCACCGCCCGTACACTTCGACG